CACACACACACACGCACGCACGGCAGGGGAGGAAAGAAAACACCACATGTGGTGAAGTGCATTTGTAGACATAAAGAGAACTAGATCTCTAGGGGTTTGCCGGCCAGACAGCCTAGCCTAGTCTAGTAGCGTGTTTGTTGATTTTCAGACCAATGAGAAAGCCTGTCTCAAGAAAACAAAACAAAACAAACAAACAAAAAAAAAAAAAAAAAAAAAAGAAAGAAAGAAAGAAAGAAAGAAAAGAAAAAAGACTGAGCAGTTCCTGAGGAACAACACCTGACATTTCCTCTGGCTGTACAAGCATGCACACACAAACCAATGCATCAGAAGTCTGAGCTTCTTTGACTGGTGCAGTGGGAGTTAGGGTTGGGAGTGTGGAGAAAATGGCAGTAGTGACTGTAGGCAGTGGACGGTGACTCCTGCAACCCCAGAGGCTCATGATTTGTTGAGTACAGGCTGGTTCCTACCCTTCTCTGCTGGAAGATGTGATGTTAGGCCTGGTGTTGTTTCTCATGTGTGCTATTGGATGGCAGGAATAAAATGGGCCATATATGCCCTTATTAAAGACATTTTTCATGATGGCCATAAGAAATAGAAACTTCTCAAAGAAGAACCTAAAAAAAAAGAGCACATTTTGTAAGAGAAAATGGTAATGAGAATGAAGGAGAGATTGGTGCATCATTATGCATACAAGGTGAGAAGGGATCCTGCAGGAAAATGATCCTGCATGAATAAACATGGTGGGGAGGGTGACACTGTCACCTGCCCCTCTCCTTACTGCCACTGCAATTATTCCCATAACTGTATTAAAAGGTGGAGGGTTCTTCATGCACTACGCTATGACATGCTGTGTTCGCTCACACTTGTGTGCATGTCTGCGATGACATGAAGATGTTTATGCTTTGAGCACTTACCTTTCTTACTATATACCACTTACTTCAGGACAGGAAGGAGGACTGAACACCCTGCAGTCCCTTATTCTCTGCACATTTCCCAGTTATGGGTCTCTTTCTTGACAATCATCTACTGCAGACAAAAGCTTGTCTGGAAAGGGCTGGGAGATTCCTTAATCTACAGGTATAAGTGTAAGCCATTAAGAGTTTAGTTTAATACAGTGTCCACTTAGCAGAATAATAGCAGTACTAAATTCTCTCCTAGCAGAATAATAGTTGTAAATAGTAATTGTAGGTTCCCTACTTACAGTTTGTGACCTCTGGCAATGTTGCCAGGTATGAGTTTCATCTTGTGGAGTAGACCTTAACCCAATCAGAAAGTAGTTGGCTGCTTCCATGACATTCATGCCTCTACTGCACCATGGACATGTCTTGCCTGGTCAGTCATTATTGTCGCTCACAGAGTTCACATCTGGGTATGACTTATGATTAATTTTTCTCATCTTGTAGCTTGCATACATGGTGCCTTCCAGCTCAATGAAATCTAGTCAAAAGGGATGCAGCTTTTCAGATCCACACTAGTAGCATGCTCGGTCTTAAACAGAACATATATACTGTACCTCCTTCTCTAAAGGCTCAGGGATCACTGTGGAAGAGGGGGTCACAAAGAGTGTAAGAGTCAGAGAAGTTGATAGTTATAAGGAAACCCTGTCTTTGGGACATAGCAGGACTCACAGTAGCTGTGACAGCACGCACAAGACCTGTGCAAGCCCAAGCCAGACCAAGTTCTAACATGGAGAAAAAAACTGCAGAGTTCTACCCAGCTAGGAGCTACCAACGAACGGGAGAAAAGGTAGCTTTCTCTACGAGTGTAGCTCTTAGAGATGAGTCGATGAGTCGACTATGCTTCAGTGGAAGGCCACACATCTAAGACTATCTGGTGGCACAAACTGGCCTTGTTAGGGTAAGAAAAGAAAGAGCTGAGTGGGAAGGGAAGAGGGCTTTGTGAAGAGTTGGAGGAGAGAAAGTGAATATGATCAAATTGTATGAAATTCTCAACCAATAAAACTTTTAGAAAAGCAATGAGAAAGGAGTTATATCGTGCTATTGCTGGCCTTGCCTTCTAGCATAGAGTTTTACTCAATGAACAATGGTTGGGTGAATATTTTGAAACATTTGCAGTAAGTGTGGCATCTAAAACTTCACCTGTACACAAGCCACTTATCTATGCTGACAAATTACGCAAGGAATCTTAATGTTCATCATAGGTCACGTTTCTGAGGCCAAGTTTAAGGGCTTCACACTGAGTGACAAGAATGTTATGTATATGAAGAAAAGGGGAAAGTAAACTGCCTCTGAAGTCATGGTTTTCATCAGCCTTAATCACAGTTGTGAGCCTTTGGAAAGAGTGGAAAGAGCAGTTTCCTAATCCCTAAGGTGCTCAGACACACTCAGTCCCTTAACAAAGTGCCTGCTGAGTGTGGGGACTAAGTTTGGGAACACAATGGGGGACAAGACAGAAAAACATGTTCATGAAGCTCATTTTCACAATGGGCAAGGACAGCAAACAGTTATCTTGTCATATTGGGAGGAGCTGAGTGTTCAAGGACAGTCACTCTGGGACTGGGGGATGGGACTTGAAACTGAGAGCTGCCTGTTAGCAAAAGACACAAAAGGAAATACACATTTTGGGTGAAGTGATTCAGAATAGGTCAGACACATGGCTTCAGGCTTAGGCAGAACAGGTCCTTGGGACTGGTTCCTGAGATGGGGAAGATGGATAAAGCTGTACAAGAGTCTAGAATGCAAGGTGAGACTGTGTCTTCACATTTTTTCCCCATGTGGAAAACAAAGGGTCTGTTAGGGTTTGGATTCAAAATGTCTTTCAATGGTCATGTGCTAATGTGAGTTTGTTTGACAGTCTGGGGTGTGACTGGGAGGTGGGGCAATTTGTTACAGAGCAGGGTCTTGTTGAAGGGAGCAAGACAGGGCAGGGGGCCTTTGAATGGATGTTAGAGCCTACCACTCCCACCCTCACCCCACCCCACTCACCCCACCCCACCCACCCCACCCCATCACTACTCCACCCCTGCATCTGCATCTCTGAGTTGAGAATCTTTGTTTACTCACCCTCTGTCCCAGGCCCAGGAACAATAGCGCCAACTGACCCTGAAATGCCTTCTCTGAAACCACAGGCCCAAATAAATCTTGTCTCCTCTAGGTTTATTTTTCTTGATTATTTTTTGATAATCACAGCTAGGCATGACTGTAAAATTTTTATGGGTATGTATTCTATAGAGATAAATTATTTTGTCTTTCAAGGCAAATAGAGTGAAACTGTGATGATGATGGCCCTTTGTGAGTGTGTGTGTGGGGGGGTGCGGGGGCAAACAGGTGTTGACACTCTCACAGTATAGCTCACCTTCACAGAACACAACACTTAACCTTTACAGCTAAAATAATACAAGTTACTAGTGAGGCTGGGGCATGGCTCAGACTGTAAAATGCTTACCTTAAAATCAAAGACCTAGCATTTGTAAAACCCACGTTCAAAAACAACAACAACAAAAAAATCAAATCAGTTTGGTGTGGTGGTGCACAGCAGTAATCTTAGTGTTGGGGAGGAGGACAAAGTGGATATCCAGGCTCTCCCTGTCCCCAATTCAAAAAAACCAAAACCAACCAAACAAACAAAACCACAAAAAAAATCTTCACTCAATCTGTCTCATGGCATCTTTCTCTCACTACCGCCTTTGAAAATGACAACAAATAGACCTAATTGTAAATGTTTTTAGGACAGTTGTGAATGTTTGTAATGTTCATATGAGTATGGGGGGGGGTCATTCACAGGTGGGTGGAAGACAAGGCTGCCTGGGCATCTGCAGCACAGCTGAGACATTGTTGGTCCTGGTTGCTGATGATGGGCTCCACTAAGAACACACCTCATGAGCTGCACAACCAGGCAGGACAGAGACTTCAGATGCTGTAGGGCTATGGTCAAGATGCAGAGGTGTGCACACATATGGATGCAGTGTGCAAGCTGTTTGGGCAACGTGTTGTCTTGTTGATTTTCTAGCTCATAGGCTTTTTCTTATTCAAAGGATAGCTACTCACTAAGACCTTGCCTGTCCTGTTCGTTGCAGCACACCAGCACACTGAAGCCATTAATTAATATCTGGTAAATGAATGAAGAAATCAACATAGCTTATAACTATTAAGGGTGTGAGCCAAAGGGATGGAGATGGGATCTGCTTTCAGCACCGCCCCAAACAGAGCTGTTTAAAGAGTAACCCAGCCAGCTGGCCACCTACACACATTCTGAGTGAATAAGGTAACAAAGGGAACAACCCACTGTAGCTGCAGCATCGTATCTACAGTCTGGGAACTGCTAAATAATATTAGTTACCAGTGGAGAATTGTAGAGTCCTCAAAGCTGCCAAGTTCAAGAGATGCATCAACTTCAAATCTATGAATAAATCCCTGAATGAAAATGTCCAACTAAAACAAAAGCTGTAATCCTTCTCATAGTGAACAGTAGGCGGCTTAAAAAGCCCTTTCATTCATCTTGTTGTATTTGACTTTGTTATCTACCTGAGTGAGTGCTGGACAATATTATTCCCATTTTATGGATGGGAATAAGGAGGATTAGGTGGTTCGTATAAGGGGGTGCTGCAGAGAAAGGGGTCTTTATATCCAAATTAAGATTTCTGATTGTGGAATTCTCCCCCCCCCCACCTTTACGCTTCATTCATTGGTTTCTTTAACATACGTCGTTGGGTTATTGCACACTAATTGTTTCAGGTGCCTATAAAATAAGGCAATTGCTCCCGGACCCTAGATTTTTTAAAAATATATATATTATTATAAAATCATGCGCATTACTTAAGAAGAAAATCGGCAAGTAACTTGCTACCTTCCTAGTCTAGTGCCTAGTATCGCTCTCGGGAGGCAACTCTGCTACGTGGAAAGCTTTGATCACTGCGTGGCCGGGAGGTGGGACAGAACGACGTGGGCGGAGGTGCACCCGGGCCGGTTCTGGGTGGGTGTGGGGCGGCGCGGCGGAGGCCGGCCGAGGGGCGTGGCGGGGCGTGGCGGCGACGTGGCAGCGGGGCGGCGCGGAGGCCATCTTGGCGCGGGACGCGCGCTGCTCGGGTCTTCCTCGTCCTCAGCAAGGCGGATCTCTACGCCGGACACCCGACCCGGACCCCGACCCGAGTGTGCAGCTTCCGCGTAGGCGCTCGTTCGGACCCAGGTGAGCGCGGCCTGGCGGTGACCCGCGCTCAGGCGACGGGAGCGGGCGAGCCCCAGGTGGGCGGGCCGGCGGCTGAGTGTGGGGGCTCCGGGCGGCGGGGACGCCGTCGGGAGAGCGGGGTTCATTCCCGCATCTCTCCGGCCTCGACCCCGGCTCCTGGGCCTGCACCTTCCCGCGCGTGCACGGATGTCCAGGCCCGCGGACCTTCGCCCGGCCCTGCCCGGCCTGCAGACGTGGCACAGGCTGCCCAGACTGCCCAGGCCGCCCGCCCTGGTGGGGCGCAGGCAGCGTCTTCTCCTGGGATCCCCGCGAGTGTCCAGCGCCGCCCTGCAGGGCCCTTCAACCCAGACACACCAGTCATAGTTTCAGGACTGCGTATTCCCTCAATGGCAGGGTCTCACATCCGAGAGTTTTTGTCAGAGTAGTTGATTTGAGAGGCAGCTCTGACTCTGTCCTTGATCCTGACACTTTTTGGCACTCCAGTGCTGTGTGAGCACTGTTTGAATCACTGAGTGTTTAGGGAAGTTTATTTTGGGTTCCACACAGAATGACAGATTGCTGACCTCCATCTGGTGGTATTAGAAGCAAACCTAAGCATCACTAAGGTCAATAGGAACAGCTTCTGACGCTCTGAATCAAAAGTCCACTCTCTTTTAAAAGTAGCCATCTATTTTCTAAAAGCAGACCTGAGTAGGTGCAAGCAGATTCGAAGATGGGTTTGATCAGAGCCTGAGGACTAATCTTATAAGCTATTCCATCTCTTTTCCCATAATGTTGATGCATTCAGACTACTTTTGTTTCTCAAAAGCTCTGTCAACTGATGGCTCTGTATTGTTTATCCTACTAGTCTTCTTCTTCTTTTTTTAAGAAGGTATGTTTATATCTGCGAAACTTATTAATTTATTTCAGTATTGTATTTAAGTCATTGCTCAAACAGTAAAGCTTTTAAGGACTGAAAGAAATTGATCATATATCTCAGGTGAGCTCTTTTCCCCATTTGATGAGAGGTCAGGTTTATCTTTAAATAGGACCTAGCTGTGACAAGGATTAGATAACTTTTGCCTCAAGAATGTGAAGGAAGGAATCTTGGTAGAAAGTGATACACTCTGTTGAGGAGCCATTCTCCCAGGTTATCTGTCTTTGTCCAGGTAGGGAATTTAGCCTGAATTTAGCCTCTTGAATGCCTTATCTTTCCTGTCTTCACAGCCAGGCTTTGGTGGCATTCATAGTTGTTTCTGTACCTACTCCTCTGTTTGATCCTAGCCACCCCTAGTCTCCCATCTTTGCAGACAGCTCTGAGATGTAGTATAGCAAACTCATGGAACCATCCACAGCTCCCCTTCTAGCTTCTCTGCAGTATTTAGTCCTACCTTGAAAATGCTGACTTCAGAGTGCCACGATGCCCTCATTTCTCCCTGTGACTCTGCTGGTCTTATTTTCTGAGGTTAGTTGGCCACGTAACTGAAAGAAGGGTTGGCGTTGAGTAGTAGTCCCTTTATCCTGGTATCCCCTTCTTGGGAGAGATAGTGCAGACACAGTATCAGAAACTGTTGGTACATTGGTGACACTGGACTGGTGGTTTGCGGTTTGTGAATTCCATACCCAGTTGGTGTCCCTACTCAGGTGTTTCAAGGAACTTGACCCTGCTGAGTTAGAGGGGAAGTACTTTATGATCTCCCAAAAGACACCATCAAACTCCTTGACCTCTTAAAGCGCTCTCTGTCCTACCTGTTGGCACCACCATCTATCTGACCAAATGTGTGACTCATGCCTCCCCACTCTTATCCTTTATGGGCACTCACCATGTCTAACCCCTAAAGGTTTCTCAAGTCTGTCTCCTTTCTCATCTCCATCATAACCTTAGTTTAGGCTGCAGAGTCTCAGCCTGGCACTATGGATGCCTGAGTACATACGGTTCTTGTGGGTTGTGGGATGTGTATTATTGGAATTTGAGCCCCTACCTGATACATACCAGCAGTACCCTGTGACAACCAGAAGTTGCCATGGAAACCCTAGGGGATATAAGGTTATGATTATCCTTAGTGTAAGGTATTGGCAGACCTTATTTGAACTTCTTCTGTATGCCAAGTAGTGCTGTCTCTGCCCAGCATACACATTTCAGCCAAAGGAATCTTGTTTTACTTTTTCCCTAATGGTAGTGGTGGCTGAATTCAGGACCCTTGCATTTGTTAGGCAAGTATTCTACCACTGAGTTATGATCCCAGCCTAAAGGAGTCTTCAAAACACAAACACAGATTGTGAGTAACTGGGGTCAGCCTGAGTCTTCCAGTGGTAGTGGGTGGACTGACAGCGTCCGTAGGAGGGCATTTTTCTGCGTGGAGGAAAAAAGCCAAATACTAAAGGGTTACTCAGGGGTTAATTTTACTTACTTTACCTTTATGTAGTGAGAAAAAAAATGAGAGAACAAGAGAATGTTTTGTTACCAGTTTTATGATTGGAGGGAGGATGTGACATTTGGAGTAATGGTGTGGTTGTGTGTCCTAACTGTAGTAATGATGGGCATCTGTGTATATGATTCAGCTTTACAGAACTGTACACACCTCAGACACACAAATAACTTATCAGCAGCTAAAGTCTGGGTGGGGTGGGGGGTGGGGGTCTATAGAGTAGTTAGTAGTGCTATACCATAGTCAGTTTCTTTGTTTGGTATTTGCAGATTTCTGTAAGCGGCTGTGACTGAGCGCACAGTGCTATGTTTGCATCTTACAGATTTAAAATCTCGGAAGAGTTAGAATAAAACGACAGATGCTTCCTCCAGCTCGAGTGCCTTTCTGTTCTTCAAAGGGCCAGCTCCTTACCTCAGTCAGGGAGGCCGGGCGTCTGGGCCCCTGGCTGTCCCTCAGTCTTATTCCCCTCCCCCCCTTGGGTTTTTTTGTGACTGTGTCTTCCTCCCTTTGTCATAATAGCATTTTACCTGCAGTGTGCCCACTTTTCTTCTGGAAGCTTCCCCTCTCCCTATGTAAGTTCTTTCTTTCCTTGGCTTATGGAAATTGGGTTTATCCTTCAGAACCAAGTTCATCTGTGAGTTGGGAACCTTCCCCAGATTTGTAGTCAGATTCCTTTTCTGTCAGCCTCAGTTTATAGAATCTAGCCTTGGGGTGTGTTGCTGTTACTGTATTGAATTGTACCAGCATCCTTGGATATTGTTACTGTTACTTGGTCGTGTCCTGTACGCATCTCTAAGTTAACCAGATTTTACTTAGTTTGTTTTGGTACTTGGCAAACAATTTGCCTTCGATGAACATTTGTAAAATGAGTAAAAACATCAAAAGCCAATTTGGCATGTTTAGAGTTGGTTTTGTACTGTCTGAGTTTCTTTTCCTGTTGCTGTATAAAACAACAAACAACAAAAGCCACTTCAGAGAGAAAAGCGCTTATCTGTTTCACAGTTCAAGGGCATAGCCTTCAGACTTCAGGCTTCATGCAGGAGCTTGAAGGTCACGTGGCATCCAGGATCAGGAAGCAGAGATTGATGGATGAGTACATGCTGCCACTGCTCGGTAATCATGGCCACACCAGTTTGAAAAGTTTCTGTTTTGGTTAAGTGATGACATTTTCTTCAAACTACAGTAACCAGCCTTCAAGATTTGTTTTCCTGCTGTGCCTCCTCCCACCCCTTCAGGCCCTTGACAGTTGCTGGTCAGAGGGTAGTTCTGATCACCCTTTAGTCTACAGTGTCTCACTTGCCAGTCATTGATCATCCTTGACAATGGATGCTTTTGACCCCCCCTCTTGCCTCCCTGTAACTATCTCTACTCCAAGTGGACAGTGGCCTGTCTGTTTTCCCAATCTACAGGCCTCCGTTCCATGGGTTTTCTCAGACTAAATCTGTTCTGTTCTAGTTGTCCCTTCACCCCACTCCCAGCAGTTCCAACAGAGACTGTATCCATTGACTTTCCATGGGCCAATGGCTGATTCAGCCATGGGTGAGGTTTTTAGTTTTCTCATTGGAGACTCCTTCTTTCTGACCCTCAGTCAGATGGACCCCCTCAGATCATACTGTTGGTTCTTCTCCAGAGGATCTGAAGAGATGCTCCAGTCCTTTTGAAGGTGTTCCTGTTAAGTAGTACCCTGCAAGGAAAGGATGCGCCCCTTTTGAAACCCTGCTTATTGTCTGGGAAGATCTCTTCTCTCCTCATAACCATGGGCCAACATGTTTCTAAATTGCTGAGAGCAGCAGCAGTTCCCAACCTGGAGGTCAAACAACCCTCCCTCTTACAGACCATCAGAAATATCAGATGGTTATATTATGATTCATATCAGTAGCAAAATTACAGTTATGAAGTAGCAACAAAATAATGTTATGATTGGGGGTCACCACAGCATGAGGAACTATATAAAAGGGTTGCAGCATTAGGAAGGTTGAGAACCACAACCCTGGAGGGTCTCCTGTCTCCTAAAAATGTGCCTGCCCTTTGTTTAGAAAGATGGCTCAGTGGTTAAAAGTACCTACTGTTCTTCCAGAGGACCGACCAAGGTTAGATACCCAACACCCACATGGTGGCTGACAACTAACTCCATTTCCAGGGGATCTGACACCCTCTTCTGGCTTCTGTGGGTACCAGCAACCCACATGATACACAGACAGATGTGTGGGCAAAACACTTATAAACATAAAATAAAATGATCCGCCCAGGGTCTAAACACTTCTAAGCTAAATGCTTGTAATTTTACCAAAACATGGCCTGGCAGCACTGCCCTGTGACAGTGGTTGTTCCTGGACAGAGGACAACACATTAATACTACCGCATTCGAAGATACCTGCCTGGATGGATTATAGTCCGAAGTTCCCCACATTCCAGCTGTTCCTTATCTTCCTGGCCTCTGCCCTGCGCCCTGCTTATCCCATTCCACCTCTCAGGTTCTCTTGCATAGACATCATCTGTGTGAGGGTCATGAGTGGAAGGTGAGCGAGAAGGAAAGATAGGCCAGGGGATGAGACTTGGGACAATGCAAACCCGTCCTTATTCAGGGAGAAGAGCCTGCAGAGGGGGTCTCTCCAATACTCAAGAGATCACCATCAGCTTCCTCGCTGAGTAATTAGAAGGCAGAGGGCTGGGGACAGGATGTTGAAAAGCTTCTGACTAGAGAAAGATGAGCAGTGACAGAAAAATGTGATCAAGAAATGTCTTTCCTGTGGTTCACAGGGCAGAATAGCCAACAATCTATACAGGAAGTTAGTTTACTTCTAGAAGTCAAATTACTGTAATTATTGGAGTTGTTACTAACTAACAAAAATGAGGTTTACAAAATGGCATGACCCTGGTGCTGCTAGACTCCCATTTTCCAGTTTTACAGACTGGGAGCCCAAACAGGGTGGGCAGATCTTCCCCTTTCAGTAAACAGTCAAGATAATGCCCACAGCCATGCCCAGTGACTGCTCTTCCTAGGTGATTCCAAGAGTCTGTATCAAGTTGACTAAGGTTAACACTATTATATACTTAAGATGAATTTTAAGTTTTTTATAGAATTGTATCCACCTTCACCCACTCACACTTCCTTCAAATAGTGCTGTGTGTGTGTGTGTGTGTTGTGTGTGTTGTGTGTGTGTAGGTAGGTAGGTAGGTAGATGTGAAGCCTACTTGGGACATATCCCTGAAGAAAATGGACCCTCCCTCCCAACTGTCTCAGCCCCTCAGCTAGGGCTGGATTTTGTGAGCCCCTCCTCCCTCCATGCTGGAAATGTGACTGGCTTGTATTATGGTCCTGTCTTGTCTAGAAAATACTGTTTCATAGCAGTTCAAGCCCTGACTGTTACAGTCTTTCCACCCCTTCTTCCATGATGTCCCGGAGCCTTGGTGGGAAGGAGGTTTCTTAGATGTTCCTTTTAGGTCTGAGCACTCCACAGTAACTTACCCACTGTGTTTTGAGTACTTCTGAGTTTCTCTGTTAACCGCCATCCATTGCCAAAAGACCTTTTTCTGATGAGGGTATAAAGCTGAGTGCTTAGAAGGAAGTTTGACTTGTAAGGATGTTTTCTTGTATTTGGTATGCATCATCATTTGTTAGGACCTTGCATTCTTGTGGATTGTTTTTTAACAGTCAACTTCTAACACCAGAGCCACACCAGTGCACTTTACAAAGCTGCTATAGACCAGGACACTGGAAGCTAATGGCTTTAAAACTGAACACATTTTGATTTTGTTTGTTTGCTTGCTTGCTTGTTTTTAGTGTTAATAGGCATAGCTAACATGGAATGTATTGAGGGAAGAGTGCATTTGTAAAGTCAAGCAAATTTAACATTTAAAAAGAAATGTTAACAGAATAGCCCACACAGAATGTTCTGTGAGGGGAGAAGAGGCGTTTAGATGTCTCTGTTGTTTTAAGTGTCTTGACTGAAACCTGCATGTGACTCTTAGTGGGATCTAAGTGGTCAAAATTGGCTTGGCACTTTATGATTTGAAATATATAGTTTCATTAATGAAATGGTCAACATAAAATTATTTCCATGTTGTAAAATATATGTATGGAAATGTCATAGGCTATTTGCATATTAGTTTCATAAACTTTGAATTTATTTAAACTGTTATAAAAAATGTTGCAAATAAAAAAAATTTACCCAAAACGAACCAGACCTAAAGACTATACAGACTTTTTTCAGATACTAAAAAAATATTTTAAATATTGTATGTATGCGACATGTATGTGGGTCCCTTTGGAGACTAGAAGAGGGAGTCAGATACCCTGAAGCTCCAGTGTAGGTAGTTGTGAGCTGTCTGATTGGGCACTGGGATCTGAACTCCAGGACTCTGCAGGAACACAAGTGCTGTCACCTGACAGGTCATCTCTCCAGCCTTGCAGGAGTTTTGCTAAGTCTCGTCCAGACATGGTTGTGTTATGAGTACTAAATGCTGTGGTCATCCTTAATTGTTCTCTAACTGTGTGAGCAGCTGCCCTGGTTTGAAGCTTATCCCATTTTTATGTCTTTGCAGAGCACTGTAACTGAGGAAAAATGATGGAAGAAAGTGGAATAGAGACAACCCCACCTGGAACCCCTCCCCTGAACCCTGCAGGCCTGGCTGCCGCTGCCATGCCCTCCACCGAGGTTCACTTAGGTGGGCTGGAGGCTGGGGAAGACACTGGTCTCTCTGAATCAATTAGAAGAATATGTTGTTAATGCTTCCTTAATATTGCCAGGGTGCAAAGAAATAGCCCTTTTAAATTTAAACAGCAACACAGAAATAAGCTTGCTTGTTACAAGTAAGGAAGAGTAATGTCTTATTAGCAGGTTCACTCTCTCTGTTCATACTTACTATAACCCCACCTAGCAAGCCTTCAAAGCATTTGTTGTCTAATGTTCTATGACTTTGTGGGGATTAATCTTTTTGAGGTTTTAGTGTCTATGTTTTTGTATTCAAATCAGGGATGAAAAATGACCTCCTTGCCTAAGAAACAAACAAACAAATAGAAAGGAAGGTTTGCCTTGGGACAGTGCTGAACTTGAGTTGTGCTGTTTCTCCAGCAGAATCACAGGGCCTGTACTCATGTACAATTGTTATGCGTTGGAAATCACACCTTTAAAATTAACTATTAAGATATGGCTTACCACATTAGGAATTTCCCAAGCAGTGAAGTTTGAAAATGAGATTAAAAAGCTTTTTCAACTTTGTGTGTTTACCCTCCCTACTTTTTTTTTCTAGCTGCAACCAGTTCCTTCTCATCTCCCAGTGTGTCCGGGATGGAGTCCTTGCCACCACATGCGTACTCCACACCTCAGCCATCCCTGCCCCCTGTGCAGCCGTCAGCACCACCCCCTTTTGTGCCGCTGTCTCCAGCTCCTTCGGTTCCCCTGAGTGTCCCTTCAATGCCACCCTCAGTGTCTTCATCACCTGCCACTGCCTTCAGCAGCCCCCCTTTACCCCACTTCCCGCCTGCCACTTCCGCCTCAGGTGCTCTTTTATCTGCTGCACCACCTTCAGGACCTCCTATATCGGGATTTTCTGTTGGTGCAGCTTACGATATCACGAGGGGCCATGCCGGGAGAGCACCCCAGACACCTTTGATGCCATCATTTTCTGCACCTCCAGTCACAGGTGATCGTCTCTTACTGCTCCACAGTACTCAGCTGTATTTGACGTTTGATGACTGTGTGCAGGTTTGAGTCGTGTTGCTGTGATTTGTGTACTACACAGTGATTTGAGGTGGACAGTGTATACGTACTGTAGTTTATGGATAGACTTGGCCATCTGCTGCTCTTGGGGTTTGCTTTCTCCACATTGATTTTCTAGTCTCACTCTGACTTCCAGCATTTCCCACGCTCATCTCTTTGCCTTTTAAAGTATTAACAATAAAGCTAGTGTAACTTGCTGTATAGTTTTTGTGTGGTATGAAAATTGATGTATGGTTGACATTTGATGTGTGAAAGAATTCCCATATCCCATATCCATGCTAATACTTGTTATTTACTGTATGCGGCAGGTCACAATCCAAGAATACATTTGTTTCTTTTATCTGAACCAATTTCCCGAAGGAGTAAATTTTATCTAGCCTGTCCCATGTTCCAGAAGTGATACTAGGCCATTTCTTTTCTTAGGCCAAGACACCCACTCAGTCCCCTTCTCTACTGTGGTTGTTGGAAGCAAATTATTGAGACCTAATCTTTGTTGTCTCCTGTTCATCATTTTCAGATAGAGGAACACTTTAGCTTCGATTAGACATTATCCAAATTGGCCTATCTATCTTCACAAGTAAAATTTTTTTTTTTATAGAGAATAGGTATTACATGCTTATCTGTGTAAATCTATGTAAAGAGGAAAATACCTTTTGAGGGATTTTTACATTTGCATTTATAAAGGTTTGAGTTAATAACTTTAGATGCTCAAGTAGTTTTGTGATTGAATTTGTTTTGAGCTTCTCATATGATCCATCTTCTTTTAGGAAAACATTTGTGGAATAAATTACTCAACCAATTTTTGCCCTTGACTAGGTATTTTGCCAGGCCCCATCACTCAGCAAGCCAGTATGACACCATTGGCACAGGGACCTGGAACCACGTCAGCCATTACTTTCCCAGAGGAACAGGATGATCCTAGAATTACTAGAGGCCAGGATGATGCACCTGCTGGTGGGATCTGGGGTTTCATCAAGGTAAGGGTGTTTGCCTTTCAAGTTACTGCTCAGATGTAAAACTAACAGGGATCAACAGAGAAACACAGCACAGGGTAGGAAAGACAGTGTACTGAGAACACTGTATAGAGAAAGGAAAAGCAAACCCTATGGCCAGATTTCTGTAGTTGGCGCTTGCCATTGTCTGTGCATCTCTATACCCATGTACTTATTAGAATTCAGTTGGATTGGGCATTATGTTCTTTGTCTTTTCTAGAAGACTTCATTAATGTCCTTTCAGCTGTAAAATTGCCTGCCTGTCTTTGATTCTTTTGTGTTTGGGGTCTGCATATGTTTGTATGGATGGATGTGTTTAGGGGCCTGCGTGTGCGTGTGTGTGCATGTGGGTCCAGAGTTGATACAGTGTCTTTATGAATGGTCTCTGCTTTATATGTTGAGATCCATTTTCTTGCTGTACCAAGATCTCGTGATTTGGACTAGTCTGGCTTGCCAGTTTGCTCTGTCTCTACATCCTGAGCATGGGGATTACATATGGACATCACACCACCAAGTTCTTTGTGTGGGCTCTGGGGATCCCAGCTCTGGTCCTCATTTGACGTAAGCCAAACTCCCAAACTTGAAACCATGTTTTAATTTTCTGTTCTTTGCTTTTAGGTTTGGCCTTTTTTTCCTGTGAGATTGTTTTCTGTATTCTCTGTTCATCTTTGCCTGATTTGAAGTTGGGAGGTTTGCTTTCCAAGTGGGTTTATTAAGAGCTCTGGCTAAAGCAATGCTATTTTATGATGTACACACTATAGCCTTTTCCATTTTAATCTGCATTTTAACTTAGACTTTTTCATCGCAGAAGTTCTTAGGTGTTGAGAGTCATTTCTGTGGCTATCTCTCAGTTCTGTGTCCTGACAGAGCAACTTTACATTATAGCTAGGGTTTCTAAACATTTCGGTTCTCACCCCGAGCAGTTCAATGTATCCAGTGTGTTTCAATACGCCACATTCAGTGCACCATGCAAGACAGAGGAATGTAAGCGTTTTCCAGCCTCTTAATGGAGTATTTTGAGGTCATTCTCTCAGCGACCCGATATCCCCTTATTTTATTTATTAAATTACACATTAGTGCCAATCTCTGGATTTGCTTCTCTGCCATAGCAGCACACAATTTAAACTGCATCTAGGTGTGATTATTCCACTGATGGGTACTGAAAGCACAGTGTGCCCAGGTGGGTATGCGGAGCATTCCATGATGAAAAGGAAAGTGTGAATTAGCAGGGTGCGGCAGTATTTGGTATGTAAACCTCTGGTTCCAATGCTGTGAGCCGCTGGTTTGCTTTGCTGGTCTCCCCCACTTTTTTCTTAAGAAAAAATAATTTTGAACTCACTCTGCTAACTTCCAGTATTCTGCTGAGAAGCTGTTCAGTTTCATTACATATATTAAACATAGTATTAAACTAAGTGGTTGATGTGGTTATATTTCAGGAATCTGGTCTTCTTATATTTGCTTTTATAGATCTCTGATCTGTGAAATCTATGGCCTTCTTCCTACTTTGTAAAGAGATTGCTGGTTGCTAGTTGTAACTCTCTGGGGCAGGAACTTAGGTTTTTATCTTGAGGTTGCCTGGCAGTTTTAAACTTAATCTTTTTGGACTCACTGATCCTCAGTCATCTTGGTGAGGGGGGATTGCAGTCTGTTGGACACCTCCTAGGGGTGCTATCCCCTTGTCTTTGGGAGATGGAAGAGTAGGCATGCAAAAAGGAAAGCTGGGTTGGAAAGCTCATGGTGCTGTTGGCCTGAGGAATCAAGAAGGGAGAGCTGCCCAAGGGAGAGGATTTGGGAATTGGTATGATGAGAAAGGGAGCTTGAGTAGGACATTCAGAGGACAGAGTTATGCATTAAAGCAATCAGGAGCTGTTCTGGGGAATAAAGGTGAGAAGTATTTTTTACTGCCTTTATCTTTTTAGAAACTAAGTATGGACTTATATAGACACACGGTTACAGTCCTATTTGGGACAATAACTGAGGGCCAAGTTGTTACGAGCATTCTTCCTGTCAGCCTGGTCCCTGAGCTGCGTCAGCCCCAAGTGAACACACAGATACTATATTAATTATGAAACTGTTGGCTGTTGGCTTGGGCATCTTATTGGCTAGCTCTGTCTTAATTATTTAATCTATTTCTATTAATCTGTGTATTTCCACATGGTTTTATCTTACTGGAGAAAGAGGCCGAAACTGTTACTGTTCTCAAGTCCTGCATGATGACTGACTCTGCCTATGTTTCCCAGAATGTTCCTTGTCTCCTAGTCCTACCTATCATCCTGCCTCCTTGGCCACAGTGCTTTGTTCATCAACCAGTAAGAGAAACATATGCACAGAAGACATCCCCTTCAACAAGTTTCTCCTACAAATGTATTTATAACTGAAACATACTTTTTAGACTATTTGTTTTTAAACAGTGTTATTCCAGAACCCTCCATAGGCCGCCACTGGCCTAATTTCTGTGTGTGAAAGGAAGAAGCCAAGAATACCACTTGGATCATAGTAGGAATTTGACATCGATTGGCTTCATTTTAATTATAGATTCTAAAAGTACCATTTTAATGCAGTTTTTAAAGTACTGTTCTACTGATCATGGGAAACTTAAAAAGAAAAGTTCCCTGTGTAGGTCTTGCAGGTAGCCATGACCGTTGTGAGCTCTGAGCTCATGATTGCAGCAGCCATCCATGTTTGGGAGGCCCTGTTTCATAGTGCTCTTCCCCATCCTGTGGCTTTCATGATTTTCCCACCTCCTGTGTTGTGATGTCCCCTGAGCCTTGGTTATAGTGCTGTTAATACAGGTGTTCCATTTAGGGCTGAGCACTCTTATTCTCAGTGCTATGGCCAGCTCTGCATGTCTTCGGTGACAAACACTTAAGCATAGATGAGGTAGATGATCTCTAGGCACTACCCCATGGTGAGGAGCCATTGAACAGTTGCCGAGGGAGGGGAATCGCTCTTGCACATATAGGCAGCATTAAATGGGCTTAGTTGGTTAACAAAGAAAAGACATGATGTTGGGAGGGGTGTGTTGCGACATGGGGGAAATTGGAGAAGAAAATGGGGTAGGATGACTGTATGTAATTGTTTTCATGTATGAAATTCTCAAAGTTTTAAAAACTTCTTTCATGCTTAGGAAGGTCAAGGTGTTCTTTGCTTGAACTGAACATTTGCATCTTGCTTTGTTCAGGGCGTGGCTGGGAATCCTATGGTGAGATCTGTGCTTGACAAGACCAAACATTCGGTGGAGAGCATGATTACGACGCTGGACCCCGGCATGGCTCCGTACATCAGTATGTAGATACATGAGCCTACTGTTGTCTGTGCTTCCTTAGAAGCACTCAGTGGTGTTTCAGTTCATTTCTTCTGGTCATGCAATTGATAGAAATTCTTCCTGTGCTTTTAAATCAAATTCATTCTCAACCTGAATTTATCTTTTCTTAGTCATCATTATATAAGTTTTAGGACTTCATAGAGTGAACTTTGGAAGAGGGAAATAGTAATTTGATAGTAAATTTTGTATCTTTTTAGTGGTTTATGTGGATTTTTCTTTATTCACTGTTAGCTTTCAAGTTATACTTTGTTTATACTTGGATTTGGCAATTTCTCTAGTTAACCATTTTAGTCAAAGGTGTTTATGCTTAACCAGGAATAATATTTTTTAGAGAAAGTTAAAATCTAGCAATTACTAAAACTTGACTATAAGCTTGCTGGGAACATTGCTTTAACTGCTTTTGATCCCTGTTTAGATATCCTTAGATAGTTGACATAGGCATATTGCGCTTTAATTTTCATGTACATTTCTAGTATGTGAATAAATAGGAATTAGCTAGGTCAGCACTAGACAATAATCCTATAAATCCTTAAAATCAAGGGAGGTTGGTAGTTGGGTTCTGAGCACATGTTGGAATAGCATACTCTGAACTTAGAGGGTGGCAATGTGTGTGGCTGTATCAGATGGTATGATGAAAAGAGGATTTGTGTCTGACCTGGGTTTGAGTCCTGACAGTAGTGCTTAGCAGGGGGGTAAGGTTCTGCCAGTCTAGCTCACATGTATGAGGCTGGTAAGGGTGAATACAGTGTAAGCCTATGGTGTGGTAGTAATTATTAGAAAGTTACCGCTTAAATTTGAAATTGAAATTCTTTTTGGTTTCTGTAGAATCTGGAGGTGAACTGGATATTGTCGTAACCTCTAATAAAGAAGTGAAAGTGGCTGCTGTCCGAGATGCTTTCCAGGAGGTCTTTGGCCTAGCTGTGGTTGTGGGGGAAGCTGGACAGTCCAATATTGCCCCACAGCCAGTAGGCTATGCAGCAGGATTAAAGGTGAGTACTAAAAGCTTTTATAGAGTTTGGGACCTGCAGTTTATTTGCCTGTAATTGTGATAACTATCTTGTGGTCTGTGTGGAACTACTGCATATTTATATATTGAAATACTAGCTCTATCATTAGTCAACACTGTCAATGCTGTGAAGATAGAAAGGAGTTGTAATTGAATAAAATCTCAATTAGGTTTTGGTTATTGGAGGAGGATGGCAGTGTCATTAAGAAAGAATCAGAACAGATGTTCTTGAAAGGAATCTTTATAACGTAGTATTGATTTTCAAGTCAGTTATTGAAATTATAAAATCTGTTGGGTCCCAGTACACACACACACACACACACACACACATACACACACACTCTCACACACTACTCTTTGTTACATTGTTGCAGAGACACAATCATGCAAGAACAAACAAAGTTAATGGCAATCAAACATTTTACTATCCTAAAGCAAGGGAAGCAAATTCTTTGACCTCACTTTCCTGTATGGTTTGTTGATCTCTTCCCCTATATTATTCTCACATGCTTTCTTCCTTCTGCAGAAAAGAATTTTGAACATTTTTCTCTAATTCTTTGTGGTTTCCCAACTAGCTACACTTCTGCACTTCCCTGTCTGAATAAGAGTGCACTCAAAGCCACCAATAAAAGGCTTGCTGTTTATTTGGTTGATCAGGGCCTTAACAGGCAGGTGGTCATCCTCTCTGTTGCAGAGTTTCGGATAGCCAGGATGGCCTCAGACTTGTTCTGGAGCCAACACTGGCCTTGAACTCCTGATTCTGCATCCACCTCCAGAGTTCAGGGATTATATGTGTGCATCACTATGCCTGACTTTTACTTCAGTCGATTTTTCTCCCTCGTGGCTTTTCCGGTGCACACCTGGATTTTTTCCAAGTTCATGTATTGTTCTTTGCTTTTATGCTTCCCCTGTTGGTACCTCCTTTTCTCCCCAGCTTCCTCTTGGTCTCTGTCTCCATGCACTGCTTTGCTGACCTCATGTTGTCCCTGACCTTAGCCGGCATTTCATGCTGACACTTGCAGCTTTATATTGTCACTGAGACTGCTCACGAATTCTTAATTTATGTAAAAGTTGCCTTTTTGACAAACTTGAACCTCCCAAGCTAAGTATGTGTAGAATGAAACTTTTTCTTTCTCTTACTCTTAGTTCCTTCTTCATCTCAGTCAGTGGCAGTCCCGACCTTCCATTTTCTCAGAGGAGAAAACTTGACAACAGCTGTAGAGACACCTCTTGTTTCTTTTCCCATTGTTCTGTCTTATTTGCAAGACAGATTCAAGTTTGCTGTGTGTGTGTTTTTTTGTCCCCTGCAAGGATGCCACACACCTTATTAGTGAGAATGGTATTCTTGCTATCAAGGGAAAAAGGATTAGAAGGATTAGGTCCAGTATAGGTCTCTGGCTACAGTGTTTTTGTCCAGGCTGTCAATATAGAAGTTTTTTTTTTTTTTGGATACGGCTTTATATTTTATATGTTCAAACAGAACATATTGGTATGTATATCCATTTTAGTAAAGTCATAGCCAGCAGTCCTGTAACTCCTGATTGGATGCAGCTTATTTAGCATACACACATTTTCCTCCTAAAGTATTTCAGAGCCCTGCTATGCTTAGGAACCTCAGATAGCTCTTCAGTGTTAGACTTGGGACCATTTGGAGTGGTGGCAACTTTTAACAACACAGGCATGAAGAAGGTGACACCAAATACACCAGCTCCTACTTGTTTCAACATGTGCGCTTAAACAAGATGGTAGTGGCATCTTGACCTGGTTGGAGATGTGCAGGACAGACAACTTATTTTGTAGCATTGTAACCATCTGATGTTGGGATTACCAATAAATTTTAGTGAATAGTCATATTCACCAGTACAGATTTCAGATTTATTGAGAATCATCTGTATTTACATTAAAAAACTATGTATAAAGGAGCATGTGATTTTGACTTTGACATCAGTGTACGCTTATTAAAACAGTCTTTGTGCCATATGGTAAAGGTAACTGCTCTCTGTAGGGTTTGAATTCAGTCTAATCTAGAAACAAACATGGTAAATTGGAAAAATAAATGTGTACTCACCATAACTATAAATGTTAAGATAAATCACAAGAGTTATATGGATGAGTTTTGTTTGAAAGGTGGGGACAGATCTATTGCCTGAACTGAGTCTCTACTTGTCACTATTTCAAGATTGGCTTTTGCCATTGTTTGGTTTTTCACATGGCAAGTTCTTACTGAATACTTGTTTGCTTATGCCTAATGTCAAAGCCTAGGGGATAAAATTGCTCATAAAATAGGTAGCATTTACTTTTCCTGTAGAATCTATCATCATTCTTTTTCCCAAGCTAGCATTTGGACCTTCCATTCTTGCAGTGTCCATCTCTTAAGTGCTGGGATTAAGGCCTGCTACCCAACCTTTGAGCATTTTTTCTCACATCATTTGTAATCACTATTTATGAGATGATGCAGGTAACAGTTGGAATCAGCAGCAGCCCTCATATCCCGGCATTGGCCTCTCTACTCTCAGATACATACATACCCTTAGCTTTGAGTTCTTTGTGAAGGTTTCATATCCTGTTTGGATTCATCAATGACAATTATTCTCTGAGTCAGTTCAGTGTACCACATACATGTAACTGTACTTGTAATAGTGTTCATGTTGCTGTGTGTATTTAAAAGGATATTAGAAAAACTGTGAAGATACATGTTCAGTGTGTGATCACAAGTCCAAAGTCAAGAGCAAATCATCCAAGCAGATAGCAGGACTGAAACAGTTCTTATTCTGAAAGATGACCTGTTGCCAAATGAACATTTAAAAATAAGGCTTCCTTATATGAATAGTCAGTTAGAAATTAAAATTTTAAAAGAATCTATCAAATAAATTAGACACAATACTGCATGAGGGAATAATTTGGAAAATGTACCATAAAGTTAATACCAAGGGAATGCCATTGGATATTTTCACTTTAGACCAGTGGTTCTCAACCTTCCTAATGCTGCTACCCTTTAATACAGTTCATCATACATTGTTTTTGTTGCTACTTCATAACTGTAATTTGCTACTGTTAAGAATGGTAATGTAAATTTCTTTGTTTTCCAATGGTCTTAAGCAACCCCTGTGAAAGGGTCTTTTGACTAGCAAAGGGGTCGCAGCCCATATGTTGAGAATCACTGCTCTGAACCTTTGTATTTGAACGTTTACAGTGAGTGTATATGTTAAATATGTGCATGTATTATATAACTAAGAATCAGTATATTTACTATTAATACTGTTTTAAAAAACTGGTTTCCAACCTGTGCTGCTTTTGCTTAGGGTGCCCAGGAACGCATAGATAGCCTGCGGAGGTCTGGCACTATCCATGAAAAACAGACTGCTGTGTCAGTAGAAAACTTCATCGCTGAGCTGCTGCCCGACAAGTAAGAGGAGCAGGGTACCCTGGGGATCAGCACAGCTGTGTCCAGAGTTCACATGAACACCTAGAAAAGGTGTCTCCTGTTTTAAAGCCAGAGTGCAGTGTCAGCTCTTGTGGTGTGACTGTCCCGTGCTTAGCTGACACTTCTGTCCCCTCTGTTATTTTGTATCTGAGCAGTGCAGAGCGATGCCTGCACTGACAACCACTTGCTACAGTAGGACCCCATGTCAGAAATACTCTGCGTGTTAGCTGGGGTAGGTGTGATGGAACACTGGAACATAGGAACACCGCTTCCTATGGTGACTCACCGAGGTGGAAGGTGGACAAGCATCTTGATGGCACTTAATAGGAGTTACATAGGGCTGTGTGTGTAGCTTGAAAAAGCTCCAGGAAATCACAGTTCAGCATTGTTTTTGAGGGCTCCATGTTTGGACACGCTGAGTTACTTTATAATAAACAACCGTGCTTTGATGAATTCTTCTTTCATTTATAATTGCATGGTAGTTTCATTTTTGCCTTACTTTTTTGTTTACTTGTGACCTAGCATTTTGTAACCATAACTTGCAAAATGTGGCCTTCACTGAGCTGGAAAACATCCACCAGGGAGAACAATCAGCTATAAGGGAAACCATCTCCAAATGTGCTTGTCTGGTAAAATGAGTAGAACCATGTAGACCTAGTTAGTGCTCCTCAGCATCTGTTCATGCTGAGTTGGAAAAATGAGTCTATTGTCTTATTCCATATACAGAATGTTACCAGTGTAAGTATTCTGGGATGAACAGATCTAGATTTTGGTGTTAGTTTTGGATTAATGTTAAGTGCACAGAAATGTTCTTATACTTTGTGAAGCATTTCCCTTGTTGTGACTTGATTGGTGATGTAGCCAGTATTTTTGTGGCTTCTGGATCGAGCGTGAACCATTTTCTGCTCTGGGAAATAGAATTGCCTGGGAACCACAGTCCATCATGCTCTTCTCATCTTGCTTATACTCAGAAAGGAAAGATGGAGATCCCTAGTGGCCAGCTGAGATTCTCCCCATCCCTGGCTGGGTTGTGATCCTATTGATCACAACCTATTGAAGGACTTTATGAATGAGAGGGAAACCTGAAAGTTCCCTTAGCCAGCAGGACCAGGGACCGAGATGGAAGGGCCTTGGGACATGGCAGTGATTGCAGCAGGTGGTGCTCCTTAGAACAGAGGTTGACAGAGTTCTCACGTATCTCAGGATGCAAAGGCGCATGTTTCCAGTTGAGTTAGTGTACTACCCTGGTGGACACCGTGCTCACAGTAGGCAAAGTCAGGCAAAACAAGGGTTAGCTAAGCTTGGCTACACTTTCTTGAATGAGAATTTCTTGAATGAGAAACATTATTAAAATAAAATATGGAATTTTGATTAGTAGTCAAGTAGAATAATATTATTCAGTATTCATGAGTTGAAACATTTTTTAAGATATGAATGCAAAAGACATAGTACCATTTTAATATTCTGCTGAGTTGCTTATGCTGTTGTCTTATTTAGTTTGTTTTTTTTTTTTAAATGTGTTATCTCCTTATTCATTTTGTAGTTCTTTGGGATTATTAAAGGTACTTAGTTTTTAAAAGATGGAGACATTAAACATAGCCTTGGTCATATTCCCTTAGTACTTAAATTCATTTCAGGGTTGTTTGCTATTTCTGATAGCTGAATTCAATTATGTTAAGTATGTTTATGATGCCTTCTTTTCTTTAATCTACATGTAAGTATCTTTCCATGGAAATGTACCTTGATTTCATGAGTGTGTTTTCAAAGGCTGACTCCTACCTTGGAACATGTGACTTGAAGGCTCATGTTCATAAGAATCAAGCATATGATTATTTCCTCTAAATGAGCTCATTTCTTAATTAACTAATAACATTGTTAGATTGCTGTGTGCTGGTAAGGGTCATATTACAAATATCCCCCTAATTTAGCAAGTGTCATTTAAAAATATTATCTACAAGGCGCTCTTAGCATGTTCAAATAGGTGTGATATTTTACTGGCTGTGTATTTGACTGCCCCATTCCCATTATCCCCCCATCTTAGCAAGAAGGAAATTTCCCATGGCCAGTAATTTCAGTTTCCTTTTTTGTTACTCTCTTTCTATCTCTTCTTGGAATTAAGACAATAGAGTAATTTTATTTTTGCATTTATGGATTGTCCACTTGCAAACTAATTAGAAAAACATTTTCTCTCTGAGAACTGTGGTACTTTAATCTGAACAGTAAGTAGGACTTACTTTGCTCTTTTGTCTCCTCACTCTCATTTTATCTAGCAGGTAAACAACATGCTGTCCCTGTGTACTTTCATTTTATCTAGCATGTAAATGGTATGTCGTTCCTATTTCTGTTCTAGATGGTTTGACATCGGCTGCTTGGTGGTTGAAGACCCTGTGCATGGCATCCGCTTGGAAGCCTTTACTCAGGCCACACCGGTGCCTTTGGAATTTGTGCAGCAGGTTGGTTTCTTTGCCTTTTCATGACGCTCCATATTCATTGTGAGGATTATGCCCTTGATTCTTTCTTTCCCTTTTGCTGTGCTTGCCAGTTTCCTGATTCTTCCATGTTGTTTTTTTCCTTCTTTGTGTTTGTGGCCCTGACAGCAGGAGAGAATTGGCCTTTAAGTCTGTTTCCCATGTACTTTGCATTATCATTTCCCTTTATTCATCTGTAGTTGTCTGGTATGGATGCAGGTTCAGAAGTGTGTGCGTGTAAGGAAACCAGAGGACAGACAGCCTCAGGTGCCACTCCTTAGGAGCTGTCCACCCTGCTTTGTGTTTGTTAAGACAAGTCTCTCATAGACCTGAAACTCAGCAGTTAGGTGAGGCTGACTGGCTAGTTATCCCAGGAATCCTCCTGTCTCCACTTCCTTTGCACTGGGGTTTCAGTCAGGTGATGTCATGTTTGGCTTCTCCTATGTGGGAACTTGGGTCCTTGTCTTAAACCATAGTCATTTTACCAATTGAGCCACGTCCTCAGCCCCTGTTTATCTCATCTTTATTCCTACTATTTTATCTATTTCCCTTCTCTTTAGTAACAAGTCAGGATTTAAAAAGTTAAGTGAAAGCTGGTGTGAGGTGCACACCTTTTAATCCCAGCACTTGGGAAGCAGAGGCCGGGAGGTCTCTGAGTTTAAGGTCAGCCTAACCTACAAAGCAAATTCCAGGCCAGTTGGGGCTACATAGTGAAACCTTGCCTCAAAAACAAACAAACAAACAAACAAACAAACAAACAAAAACCCTAACAAACAAAATTTAGAGATGTTCAGCAGTTAAGAATACTCGCTGCTCTTTCAGAGGACTTTGGTTCAATTCCCAGCATGCACATGGCTGCTCAAACTGTTTGTAACTACAGTTCCAGGGGATCTGATGGCCTCTGCAGACACCAGGTGTGCATGTGGTGTGCACCAGCATACACATAAAATGAAAATAAATGAAAAACATATAGTGGTTAGAAATTTGTCTTTAGATTTGCTGGCTGAAAAATGGACCTAATGATGATGTGCCCATGGATTGTTTCCAAACTGATTCATACTTATACATATTTTATGTAAATATCCTCTTAATTCTTTAATGGACAAAATGGAGTGTGCCTGTCATTGGGATCTCTCTACAGTTAACTGATAGTTGTTGCCTTTTCCTCGATTTTTACAATTGGAGTGTGTAGACGTGTAACAGTATGGGAAAACATTTGACACTCTCTGAGAAGATGCATGTGCAGTTACATATTTCAGTTTAAATTGTGGCCATAAAGTTGCTAAAGGGGCTAGTGATCCTTCCTTATGTTTGCAGTGTACAAAGATGCTTGGAGTTTTGATATTTCTCTGACACTATTTATACCTAAGTTCTCTTCAGAGGTCAGGCAAACCCCTCCTAGAGCTCTCACGTGAGGACAGTTAGAGGCTTTAAGCTGATGCTGTGCATATAGTTATGCCAATGACACTTAAAATGGACGTAATATGACAGGTTTTCCAGGAAGATAGACGTTTTACCAATGTCAATTCAAAGGTGTTAGAGCTAGCCATATAGACTTGCTGTTTGTAATAGCTGAGGAGTCACTACTGTCACGTTTCATGTGACTTAGCATAATCACTACCATTAGCCAGCCCTACAGGGAACGTTTGCCTGCCTGGCAGTACGTCACTGACGAGCACTGGAGGAGCACATGGCCTGATGTTCAGTGGCAGTTGGGCAGCAGAACGCTGTGCAGCCCCTTCCGTAAGGCCTCCCCACATTGCTCAGAGCGGACTCACTGTTAACCCCACCAAACCCAGAATGCTTCAGAGCACCGTGTGCTGACCCAAGAGCTGAAGATGGGTTCACAAAGCAGCTGTGCAGTTACATGAACAGACTAAAGCAAAGGGCTTCAGCAGGATTGAGAAACTTGCACAAAGTAACAAACCTGCAGTTGAAGAATCCTAATCAGGATTAGAAGTGTATGTGTACACTGGAAAGTCAGTCCATCCCCAGTCTGTTGAAAGAGCAGCAGGAGAACTGTTTAAGGTGGCTCCTATCTCCGCATTATAGATGGTGAGGTAGATCCAGGGTCAGCACCCAGTGACCCCTTGGCCAGCTCTGGCCTATTGCCCATTTCTGTTTTTCCTGTATGTCCCTGCTGATCTACTTATAAACTGTTTATAGATAGTTGCTTTTGTACCAAAAGGACAAAATAGAGGAGTTTTAGTGAAGACTTCAGAACCTAAAATCTTTACTCCTCAGCCTGTTTGAAAAAAGGGTTGTTGGCCCCTGTGCTGGATGTTTGACCACTTTTAATTTTAATTTAGTTTTAGGACTAGTTAGTTGGACATGTTGCTCTGACAGTCAACTAGGCCCACGTGTACACATGCATCTAATCCAGCTAGCTGCTCAGGGTTTTTCTTAACATTATCAGGTTACTCAGACCTATGACCTTTGGCCCAGCATCATAGGTATCATTTACACATTTGATTTAACAAACAAACAAACAAACAAAAAAATCCAAATAAATAAAAAGCTTCTCACCCCTGTGCTGAGCTATTGAGTTAGGACCTGCACTGTAACAAGATTCCCATGGACTTGTGTGGTATGTGAGGAGCAGGCTCCTGGGGACTTGTGTGTGAGGAGCAGGCTCCCGGGGACTTGTGTGGTGTGCGAGGAGCAGGCTCCTGGGGACTTTGAAGACCCAGTGTCTCTTTTGAAGCCTACTGCAATGCTGGTAGTGCAAAAACTGCCTCTGTCAGGGTTTCTGGGAAGCTATTTGAGGCAACTCTTGACTATTTGTCTTGTAATAAACTATAGTGTTTCTAATTTGGGTGTCCTAAGACAACTAGTTTGAGCCTAAGAAATTGTTTTCTTCGAGGTGAAAAGAAAGCCCCTCGGGTGATGGTGAAGCAGCTAGGTGGGGATCTGTGAACAGTTCCATTCTGCATGCATATGTTCTCTGGGCTGTGTAGCACTCTAATCAAAACACTGGCTGTTGAACCCTTGAACTTATTTGCCTTTCCCTGGGTAAGGGTGGTGAGTGACAGCGCTGGTAGGTGCTGTTTGCAAGCTACTGACTCGCAGTAGTCATATCTGCAGACAATTTCTACAAATTAATAAATCTTTTCTTAAGCAGGCTAAAGTCTCAATGTGCAGGCTGTCTCTGCTGGGAATTTTGTGTCTCTACGAATATCATTTTAACATAAACCTATTATTGACATGGAGTGACCCTGAATGTAACCAAGAGTTTAAGCCCTCGGAGTGAGCTATGAGCAGGTGGACTTTAAAGACTTGGACATCCACTGAGCATCTCTAAAAATGTAAATTACCAGGAGACTAGATTATATTTGAACAGTGTGATGGGCTCTTATTAACACTGTAGGGTGTGTGCAGTATTGTTAGGTTCCTTTGACCCTTGTAACTTTATACAGTTGTTGGTAGCACAGCTGAGTTTCTGAGGGTTTGTCATAATCTATATTAAAAATAAGCTGAGTCAAGACGTTGCAGTGTCATTTCTCACATAGCGAGTTCCAATGTTGCTTTGGCATGTGACAAGTAACTCATGCTCCTTTTCCCATAGGCACAAAGCCTGACTCCCCAGGACTACAATCTGAGGTGGTCAGGCCTTTTGGTGACAGTGGGTGAAGTCCTGGAAAAAAGCTTGCTAAATGTCAGCCGGACTGATTGGCACCTCGCTTTCACCGGCATGTCTCGACGACAGATGATCTACAGCACAGCCAAGGCGGTGGCGGGCATGTACAAGCAGCGCCTGCCACCCAGGCCCATGTGAGACCTGCTGTCACCTTTTGCTCTGTGTTAGAGGAGACTGGATAGCTTCAGAGAATCCAATAGCTTTTACAATTTTCCTAATAATCTGCAGTCCTTTTAAAAGGTTTTTTTTTTTTTTTTTTTTTTTTTTTTTTAAATAAAGGCACAGTGTCATTCCAGTAAAACAAAAGAAGTAGGTCTTCTTTTTACTGTCATGATTATGATTTCATACATTCTGGTTCTAAAGAAATACACAATATTTACAGCATAATTCAGTAGTCCAACTTATAAAGTGGAAATCCATGTTCATATATTTGATGATTGTCCTTGGCTCTTCTGGTTTCTTAAGAATACGTAATGTGGTCTGTGTGTTAACTGTCTTGTTAAGGCTTGTTTCCTGTTGTCATTGTGTGTGCACATGATCTCAGGTTTGATGGTGAGCAGTGCACATGCTCAACAATGGGCCTACATGCTTGCTGCGTGTGTGTGTGTGTGTGTGTGTGTGTATACAGTTTCATGTGTTTTATAGGATATGGGTCAAATTAACAATGGAGATTTTTTTTTTTTGTCATTATGTGCATGTATAGTTTGGAAGTTATATTTGTTTCTTTTTTTGTTTTAAATTTTCTCGTTTTACAGATTTATACTATGACCATAAGAAAATTACGGTTTTTCTTCATTGCTATGTGAGAACTAAAGGGCAGATCATCCAAGTATATTTTAGAACAGAAGTGTATTCATGGTTTTTTTTTTTTTTTTTTTTTTTTAAGATTTAAAAAAAGTATGTGTATTGGTGTTTGCTTGCATGTCTGTCTACACACCATGTGTGTACTGTGCCCAGAGAGGCCAGAAGAGGGCATCAGAAACCTAAAAATGCAGTCATGGTTGTGAGCAACCATGTGGGTGCTGGGAATCGAACCTGGCTCTTCTAGAACAGCAATCAATGTCCTTAACCACTGAACCATCTTCGCAGCCCCCTTTTGTTATTTTTGTACAGTGGTGTTAGAATTTCCACAAATCCGTTCTCACGACAGCTGTTGCTCTTGTATTCACTCACAGCCTCCAAACTGTAAGAAAGGATCCCCTTCTTTGGGGATGCAGTGTGTTTTCTTTATTTAAAGTTACCTTTTTTATTATATGAGAAGTTCATTCAGGTGACTAATAATAGTCACCTCCCACCCCTCCCCTAACTCTTCACTCTTCCATGCCCATCACACGCTCCCCTTCTTGGCATCTTTTTTTTTTTTTTTTTTTCTCACATCCCACCAAGTCCAATTTGTACTGCCCTAATAGGTGTGAGGCTAGCTTAGCAACCAGTTGACCTACAAGGGACTACACCCTTGAAAATTTACTGCCCCTCAGAGTTCATCAACTGCCAATAGCCCCCCCCCCCAGTTTGGGGAGGGTGGGGAGTCATGGGCTGGGTGTTGACTGGCTGGACCTTGTGTTTAATGTGGTTTCTTGGTTTGCCTTAAACACAGCTTGACTTTTCTAACTGTGTCCTTCTGCCTTCATTTCTTATGGATGTTTTCAAGGGATTGGTTTTATATTCAATGTAGTTTATTTAATCCTTTGCATTTGGTGGATGCTTTTTCCTCCCTGAAATAGTATGTTTTACCATTTGGGGATTTACATAAGTCAAAATTAAGTAAAATTGTTTCTTACATAGTTGAACTCTATATATACAAATATCTTCCCGAAGACAATTTGGTACAGAAACTTAACTTTCTTTTCCTTGTCAATACAGTTCTGTAGGTGTCAGTTAGTAGACTCTGCACTCATCCTTCTCTGTCCTCACATGTATAGGGTACTGTGCCACAATGCTTTGTGGCAATGATGTCATTGCTGCTACTTTTGCAGAAGGAGGAGAATTAACTACTTTTGAGGTGGCTCTATGTTAATCTCCAAGCACTGTGTGTATTGCTTAGTTAGACAGGAAGGAAGTCTGGCTGTGAAGATGTACCTGGCCCAGGGTAATCCAGCCACAGTACTTCCCATTACTTCTTTATGCATAAAGAGCAGGGCCTTCTGTCATTTGCTGCTGTGCAGTTTTTAAAAGCTGTCCTTTGGGTCTAGGGCTATAGCTCTGTGCTGGAACACTAGCTAATGTTATACCCCAGGGTCAGACACACACACACACACACACACATACACACACACCACAGAGGAGACAGGGGGATCTGTTTTTGTCTAATAGTATTTGATGGGGCATTGCCTGGATGATAGTGTTTGATTATACTCCACAGGTAAGTTTTACAGATCCTGAGGGTACAGTTTTCCTTCCCTTCCTTGTTTTATTGAGTCTGTGTTACCTTAGTTACTGTTTCAGAGGGTCACTCCAGTAGAATCAGTGTGGGTCACTGACATCTCAGTGGGTGTTGGTTTTCCTTGAGTCCTAAATAAGGCAAACTTATGCCATGTTTTGGTTGAAACAGGATAATTGTAGTTACCTAGTCTGCCTTCCGTGAGGAGGAAAGTGACCAGCAGGTGGAAGAGAACTGATTGATCAAATCTGATCCCTCTGTAGCTGCTTTCATCTGGCCCAGAGTTCTCTCTGGAGGGTGTCAGAGCAGAGCTGACTCCATGGGCTCTTCCCTAACCCTGCTCGGTCTGCATGGTGCCATTTAGGCCTGGACAGTCCAAGGCCTGGTTCCCTTCCCAGCCCTTCTGTTTTTGTGCCCTCTGAAACTTCCACACTGTCATTTTTAGGGGAGTTGTAGGTGGCTGCTACATTTTTCAAGCAGGAAAAAACAAACAAACAAACAAACAAACAAACAAAAAAACCCAAGTCATCCATTGTCAGGGTGGTGGCTTTTGTGTTCTTTTTTTTTTTTCCCCTCCAGATTATTGAACTTTTACTTTTATCAGTAGGAAAAATATTTAACGTCAGCCCCACAACACTGCCCAACTGTTTAGTCCTATTCTATTTGGTTGCCTTTCTTGTTTTGCTATGGCTTGGTTTGGTTTGTTTGTAACAATGCTGGGTGGGAGCTGAGAACCTCATTTACTCTAGGCCAGCACTCTGCACTGCTCAAGAGCCCCAGCCCAGCTCCCGCCCCTATCTATCCCAGGTCCCTACTCAGTTTTTGAGCCAACCCTGTACTGAAGCTCTACCACAGACATCTGCAGTTGGAAAAGTTTTAGAATCTGGGAGTTCGCCCTCTGATTCCCTTGTCGTTGTTTTCGTCTTCCTTCCTCAGTCTTTCGGGGTGAGATACTGCCATCTTAAGTGTGGGTGTACAGGAAAACAAGTGAAAGCACACGTGTACATCTACTCTGATTTGTGCAAATTAGCAGTTCCTCAGGGCCAACTAAATTACTTCACCCTCCTTTAGTTTACTCTTCTTATTTGGCAGAAAGAAGACAAAAACTAAGGACTCTGTGATTTGTAAAGCCAAATTGATAATCTGTTGTAAAAGTTGTTGAGTTAAACATAAATTATTACGAAGTGTAGATTTTTTCCTAGGATATTGTGTTCATTTTGTGATACTATGTAGAGTGATGTATTGGATAAAATCAATTTTGTAAGTATGTAAATATGTCATAAATAAATACTTTGATTTATTTCTCAGAGGTATGCAGTGATTTAAATGCTAATTTGTATTAATATATCAGAAGGCCACATACTCCTATCTTGCTCTAAATTGGTTATCAACTCCCATAAATTACCAGACTTAAAGCATCTTCTTTCTAGAGAATTTTAACATTCAGATACACCCATTTCTAACTGAGCCGGAGAACTCAGAAGAGAGAGAAGACCCATTGGAGATACAGGTAATGGTAGGAAGTCAGGGACCCACGAAGAGAGCTCTAGTTCCTGGGTGTGACTCCTCCTTCCCTCCATACCTGTCCTTTTAACGCTTTTTGGAATAGCTTTAGGGTCAGCAGTATTAGCAGGAGAGAAAGGTACGAGGTTTGAATTTCACCCATCTCTATAAGTACTTATCCTTACCCGTGGTCAACATCTACCACAGCATTCTTGAAGGTCATTGATATGGCGTCATTTAGACTCACTGCCTTAGGTAAATGTGTATGACATTATTATAATGTCATAATAGTCATAATGTCATATAATAGTTTTGCTGGTGCTCTGAAAATCTTTGCTTTGCCTATTGAGCCCCAGCTCTCTACCCACTGGCAAGTGTGAAACTTAGTGTCCCGAGCATTTCTTTTGCTGGGATGTCATAGTTGAAATCCAATGCTCCAGATTGGCTGCTGCTATGAGTAATCCTCATTTAAGGCTACCTGCATGCATGTTCATGGTTCAGTTTTCTCATTTCTTTTTAGCTCTGTTCTATCTGGATGTTCCAAAGTTGCTTTTCCGTTTCTCTGAGTTTTGGCAGCTGTCAGTAAGGTTGCTGTAAATGTCTTTAGGTTTTGTATGGACTGTTTTCAAGTCTTGTTATGTTACAGTTTGTTTTGTAAAAGCTCAGCTGCTTCTGTTGAAGAGTTTGCCCTTATTGGACTTGCTGTGAGCTGGGATCCTCAGTAGCCCATTGTTTTGTGTTGACCAGGTGGGAATAGGACAGCTGGGTGGGAGACCAGTGGGGAATCTTGCCAGAAGACAATAGCCATATTGATCAGGCTTCTTATTTTCATTACCAAGGGTCAACAATATTATCCTTAATAGACAAGAACATCAGCATTGTGCCCAGGAAAAGCTGCATTAAATTTATACTTACTTCAGAAGTAAATAGTGGGGGGGGGGGGACTTTCACAACAGAAGTTAAAGGAAGTTAAAGCTATAGATGAAGGAAATTGTAAATGAGGCTTCAACTTGTTTTAGGAATTCAGTTTTTCTGTGAAAACTAAAACATCGAAACTGCTAGAAGAAAACATTCAGTACCCTCAGGATACAGGTACAGGTGTACAAGACCTTTCTGAATAGGACTCCATTTGCTCAAGAATTGAGGCTGACAACAGACAGTAGGATTTAATGGAACTAAGGAAACAATCTGTGAGTGAGGAGGAAGCCCACAGGATGGGGAGGATCTTGGTTGTTCATCTGGCAGGAAGGCAGGATAGGCCTGTGCAGGGTGTGTTTCCCAGTAAGAATTAGAAGGGAACGTAAACTCCATCATGCTACTGTGACCTCTGATGTTACTGATCCCACTTTCATATATAGTTGCCAAAACATTTTTATTATAATTTTAATCTTTACTGATAATAGATTTTTTTTTTATGTACTACATTCTGATCATAGTTTCCCCTCTTCCAACAACTCCTAGATTCTCCCCACTGTCCCACTCACCCAAATCTACCACCATTTTTCTTTTCTCCCAG